CTTGATACAGGATGTCTTTTATTATTGTGGTTTCAACAAACCATTGTTAACACTATGTCTAATCTGTGGTGGCTGGGATTCTTCATGATGCCTCATGTTTCTGGCAATTCATCCTGCGTAGTCTCACTATTGGTTTGAACATGACCCAAAGTGAATCCCCTGATTCACTTATTCATGACCTGAATAAAACAAGAATCATGTGGGAAAGAAGAGACCTGAGATTATTTATGCAGATAGTACTCACAATAAAAGGTTGTTTTCTTACCTTTATTGCCCTAATTCTGTAATATCCTAATCTTGACTTTGAGATTGTATTCTGCCTTTTGTAATATACAATGTGCGTATTTTGTTATATTTTGTTACATTCTGTTCTCTTGTTCTTTTCTAGATATTTCTTTGTTCTTTTCTAGACACTTTTACTCAAATATAAATTGGTTAAAGTAGTATCATAGTTCCTTGTTTCTGCACAGTGGTAGAAGACAACAGGCCTTATTAGATTGTCCTTTCCATATACTGATCAGATATCAGAGGGGTGAGAGAACTTTAAAATTAAAATCATTATATATTGTCAGAATATAGCAAATATGAAAGATATCAGTCTCATAGTGCATTGGTGAGATTCAATAAGCAATTTTCAAAGAATATATGAGGTGGAAAAGCATAATAAATTATGCAATTCAGGTGGATTAAAACACCTCTCCCACAGCTACTTATGGTTGCCATTCATTGTAAATGACAACAGAGTCTTCTCTGTTTTAATTTGATTGATGAGTTCTCAGCAAGCTATAAAAAATCCATTTTCATGAGAAATGTCTTCCCACACACAGACCAACAGTGTCAGACACACCTAAAATTGCTCCTGGATTTCCTTTGGACTCCCTCCACTTCAACTGACTCTGTAGTGGTCAATTTGGATGTGAAACAGCTGAAAACTGGAATCAGCTTCTTTCTTTCACAATGAAATGCTCCCACAGAGCAGTGAAAATGCTACTTTTTTCTTTTTTTTTTTAAACAACAAGGTTTATGACCACGAAGATGATTTGCATTTTCTGGATTTTGTGTCTCTACATTGTACACCCCCAAGGTTTGGGAAGAACTTAATGGCTGTAACAGCCTCAAGCAGTAAAGACTCTTCTACAAGAGAGGTCGGGGCAGCATTTTGTAGCAATCAACTTATTTACTGGACTGGGCACTTCGAAAGATCCTTGAAAATGAACAAACAAAACTCAATGCCATATATTCAACTTTAAATAAGGAAAATTCATTACAAAAGTTCTACAGTTTGAAAACCTCATCGTCGAATCCTGACAAAGCTGCAGCAAAGCACATTCATGGACGTGTTATCTTTTATGAAGCCAATTAAATTATCAGTGCTTCTCTGCATGATCTCTTGTATGTCATTGGAGAAAACTTTAGTGTCTTCCAATTGTTCACTCAGATACCCTGCTAATTACTTAGCCATTAAGACAATATATTATCTTCCCCCAGGCTTTACAAAAGTCAAATTTCATACTGTTCCTATAATTAGTAGCTCACAAAGTCACTTCTGTTAGATAACATTAGGGGAAATAAGATGCCTGGCAGTGATTTGGAAGGTAGTAACACAGATAAAAACAAACCTGAGTAGTCATCATTAGAAACTTTTTCAGATGATAGCTTTTCATAGTTTAAATTTTAGTTTACATTAAGATATGCACAAAGAATTTGTGAAAATGACAGATGTAAAACTATTTGCTGAGTGAAGAAAGTGTTACGAAAAATGCTTTGAAAATACTGATCCATCAACCCATGCAAAACTAAACTTTCTGCACACAAAAACACGTGGAACAAACTTTTAACTGGCAATACATTTACACAGGAAAAAATCTTGCATGGAAAAGATGGTTATTTTTCCTTCTTCAAATACAGAAATGCAACCGATTTATAACTAAAAGGTTTTGACTTTTTCCTTTGCCCATGAGGCAGTTTGTGCACTAAATAACTTTGTGTTGCTGAAACTGCCACAGAAGAATAAACAATGGAAATACGAGGAAGGTGGGCAAAGTCAGAGGAACTTGGTTAACATCAGGTATGTAAGTAAACCTGTTGATAATCCCTTTATAGAGCCATATCTGAATCCTTATTGTGACTTTAGGACTCTGAAGTTGAATACATCTAGCGCTTGTGTATGGTTTGATATCGCAACCTGCAGTCACACACAGTGATTTAGGTGCAGTAATGCAATGTCGTAGCAGAACGTGTACAAACGTACAAAATGTCACCAATAAATGAGAAATTACAATGCTTGTACCACTCTTTATGCAATTTTCCTGTTCTGGTTGGAATTGCTGTAAGATACAGTTGGCTTACAGTGGTTTTATACAGCCTTAAGTTCCACAAAGACACATAAAGGCTGAGGGAACAGAGAAAGTCTTTTTCTTTTCTTCAGAGGGACATGTATTTCAGGTAAGGCATTTGCTAAATGAGTTTTTGAAAACCTGTGTAGCAGCTCTGGTCTCTGCAAATTTTCTATGGAAAATGGTAAATTTAGCAATTATTTTGGTTAACTGTGCCACTGAAACAGGATAATTGTTATCAGAGTCTAAGCTTAGGTACGCACAGCAGCTGAAGTGCTGTATGTCAGAATTGTGCTGCATATTCATTGATTTTGACCAAGTAACAGTTTATTTTCTTTCACTGAGTTATCCAGAGAGGTGAGTTATCCCAAGGCTGTGATCATTTGGGAGCTTTCATCTTGTCTTATTGTATCTTTTTTATGAAGGGCTGGTTTTTATTTGCAGGTACCCAATAATCCTGATTGTGTGATTCTACCTTTGAATGGGGAGTGGGTTGCCAATAGCTTTGAAAGCATCTGTTGAAAAGCCTCTCTGATATCTCCCCCTGCCACAGAATTTGTAGTACATACTTGGCTTAAAGCATAAGTGTACTTGAGTTGACTTCAAAAGAAATAAAATTATCTATTTTTTAATCCACTATTTCCCCCCCACCTTCTCTATGTGTATCTATGTTCTTTCTTTGAAGAGATTTACCTTATCAAAAACATATTGCTTTAAATACAATAGAGAATACCATTTCAGAATAAAACATTTGCTTTTTTAAATTGGAATTGAGTCTTATCCTCGAGTTTTATTTTGTAATAGTGAATGGCTTGAAATACAGACAAAATACTGCCCTTGAAAAAGAATGCTGTTTCTTTTGATCCAAAGTGACATGTCATTTGGGGGACAGAAAGGAAGAAAGATTTCAGAATGGGATGATGTGAATTTTAGAAGTAATAAGGATTTTAAAGAGCACTCATTTTGCTTTGACTACAACTGTAGCCTGGAATTGCCAACTCTTTAGTCACAAACTTCTTTGTATTGTATATCATGTCTGAAAGGTAGTTATTAAGAGCAAGAATTTAATATTCACCAGGGCAGATTTGGGTATGAGAAAACAGGAAGGGAGCAAGAACAAGCCTAACATTATTCCTTTTTTTCTGCTTTACCTCCTCTCTTCCTTTCTTCCACCAAAACTGAAGAGGAATCAGTGCCTACAGCCTGCGTCTGCAGTGCTACCTCCTTCCATGCACCAAACCTGCTGTCTTTCCAATCAGTGGAAAATTACCACTCACTATAATCACAGTTGTATCAGACCAGTAGCCTACTTTCAAGGGGAAAATCCCTGCCGTTCTCACCCCGCTTATCTTTAAAACCAGAAATACTTCCTTTTTTTTTTCTTTTTTTTTTAAGTCAGTGACAGCAGGGCAGGATTCCTCCCTAATTTCTATTCAGCAAAGTCAGAACAACACACTGGGAGAACTGCTGAAATTGTTGGGTCAAAATTAAGCTCTTAAAATGGCATTTCAAAAATTGGCTCTTGGGTTCTGAGAGGAAATCAAGAGCTATCTTCTTCAGTGTCATCTCACCTCATTCAGCTACAAGGGAAACTGCTTTTGTTAAAGAGAGGCCTTTGGAATCGGAAGAAAAACTAATCAGTGTATATGTAATCTGAGTTAATATTTTTTAACTACTCCATTAATATGAACTGACACTGCATCCATCAAATGCATATTTTGGGGCACTTATTAAAAACAACTAATTTTAATTTTTTTCTGTGTCTTATTACAAAAGAAGGAAATACTGCCTCGTTCCTCTAGAGATGTAAAGAAAATAGCCTTGAATATGTTAAACTGAGAAAAAGCCATATGGATCTTTGGAATTGTATATACAGCAATGGTTTCCATTGTACTGCTGGAGGAGTCAGAAGAAATAGGAGTCTGTGCAATCTGTACATGTTGGAGTTGCTCTTTCATTTGTTCTGTTCTCACATCGGAAAGCCACAAGACAGTAACTGCAATACATGCTGGCAATGTGTAGATGTGGGAGCTGGCAGGAGAAAGAATGAAATCTCTGTTTAAATGTGTGTGATGAAGTCTGAGGATGGTTTTAAAACAATATTTCAAAAGGCACACCTGGCAGGCTTGTGATAAGATTTATTTGAATGACTCATTTCTGTTTTAAAGGCCAGCAAAGAAGGGACATGAGGTTCTGCTCTCCCTATGTAGGGGTGTCATCCTTGTCCCCTCAAGGTGTTGTGAGGGTAAATATACAAAGTGTTGCAAGTGTCTATTACTTGAATAAGGAAGGCATATAAATAGTTCTGTCAGATAAGAAGTTATCTCACTCTTCCTTGTTACCACATGGAACCTACATAAAACATAGGTAATGCTTTTTTGTTAAGTGATATTAGTGAAGTTGTCTGGGTACAATTTCAAGCAACAGTGAGGACTGTCTGTAAGTTGTGAAGCAGTCTCTTTTAATGATTCCCCATTATATACCAAGAACAGATTTAATTTTTTAAATCAACACCAAAATAAAAACCATGAAGAATTGTATGAACAAAATAACATATATATGGAAATTGGCAAGGAAGGAAGGAGCTTTATAATTGCATGGAGCATATTTTACTAATGACCAAAACTTGCTTCTATTAATGAAATTTATTTTCTTATTTTGCAGCTTGCAGACCTGGATTCTATAAGGCTTTTGCTGGAAATGTGAAGTGTTCCAAATGTCCTCCACATAGTTTGACCCATGTAGAAGCAACTTCTGTCTGTCAGTGTGAAAAAGGTTATTTCAGAGCTGAAAAGGACCCACCAACCATGGCATGTACCAGTAAGTCTGATCAGTACCAGTGTCTGCAATTCTCTTCTCCCATTGCCTCATTTATTTCATTTTTTTTTAAAAAAAACAAGAAGTTTGTACATTTTGTGAAGAATTCCATTCAAGTTAACCAAAAGATATTTTATTTTTTTTTAACCAAAATTCAAACAACATTTTTCTGTTTAGTCTAGAGAACCTTTAAAATAGCCACGTTTCCTAGTTTGATGACTTTTTTACTGGTAACTCTGAGATATAAAACAAGGAGGGTAATTGCTGTCATATAGATAATAATGTGGTGTTTTAACTACCAATAGGTATTTTAAATGCTTGAAAATATGCTAGTACAAAAGCTTTCAAAAAACTGGAGTCATGTAAAGAAAAAAACTGCTATGACATGCTCTGCTGTCTCAGATTTAAATGAAGAGTATAAGAACAATATTGATATTTTATTCAACACAATTGAGTAAAAACTAAACTTTCTAGAAAAGACAAGAAGATTTTTTTTTTAAAAGGAAAAAGATGTATCTAATCAGAAGGTATATAATTAAAACTATTGCATATCATCTTTTTCTAATCTTCTTATGCAACTCTGATAATGAAAATTTTTGATAAATATTAAAATACATAATTTTGTGTTTCTTGACTAACCTGTCATAAAACTGTCATCAAGATAAAACTGCTGCCTAGCAATCTATGGGCAGAAATCCTGAGAAGAGATTTTTATTACTTTGATCAGTGTTCTTACATCTAGAAACAAAAAGCATAAGTTTTCTTTTTACTTAATAAAATATTTCTCATAGGTTTCCATTCATGGTTCATTACTCACTGGCATTCATTTATTGGTTGTTAGCAACTATATCTGTTTAATCTCAAAACTGAGAACAAACAGCAGCATTTAAAAATCTGTGGGTGAAATACTATATTTACACATAATAGGCAATTAAAATTGCCTGTTTAGCAAAGGAATTTTAAGACTGCAAAATTCCCTAAGATACCCCATTTTCTGTATAGCACTTTGCCAGCTCTTTCAGTGGATGATTTGATCTCAGTACATTTTGTGCCACGGTTAAGAAAATTCTAAAAAAAAAAAAATAACATGTTAAATGAATGAAGTATTTCAACAGAATTTTAAGTACAAAAAGTTTAAGATGTAAAACCACAAAAAAAAAGTGCTGTTGCAAGAACCATCAGTGTGTAGCCATAACTTTGCTACGTTTACACTGAGTGAAAAAATAACTGAGCTGACAGAATTGTACTACTCCCTGTGCTCAGGATAGTCTTTCCAAAGGACACTGTACTGGGCAAGTTGGGAATATACCAGGTAATTTGGATCTGATGTACAAAGTCAGAGGCATTCTGCAATCCTGAGGTCATTACACAGACCAAGACATTGTCCAGCCACTAAATGGGGGGATGGTCATTAAAATTGCATTTCTCAGATTGAAGGCACTAAGCAGAAAATTGTCTTATCCAACAGTAGGGTTTTTAGAGGGGAAAGGTAAATCCCACACTCCACCTAAGGGATTTAGGGCTCAGACAGACACCCCAATCACCTTCACAGAACCTGCTCTCAGTTCAGTCTGGAACAAGGAACACAGGCCTACAATTTTGCATAAAATATGTGAGGGAATAAACAATGTTTTCCAGACTTACCCCAGGAAAAATGGTGATTACAAATAATCCCACTCAAATCAATGCCTCAAGAACAGGCCATTAAAAACTTACTTACAGAACTAACACATCCCAGGCATTCTTGACAGTCTCATGCTTAGAAAGACAGTTTCACTCAGCCATTATGCAGATGAGGTTCCATATTATTTATAAGTCATTGGTTTTTCATCTCTGAAAGACAGTGCTTTGAAAAAATTACTCATATATAGTATTAGGATTCCATAATTATCTTTCAGAGCACAATTTTAAGCTCTGATACCCACCAGTATTGATAAGGTCGGGAGGAGCACGAGAGCCCTGTGGCATCAGGGGGCAGGTTCTACAACACCCTGGTGCTTTCTCAACAAAAGTTGAGTCAGAGAGATGTTTTGGCTGGAAACTCTCAGGGAAGACTTGCTGCCAGCCCTCTTCAAATATCAGCCAAAGCAGCTGAGAGTGTGTAGACAGAGATGAACCACAGCAGAGGTTGAGCAGTGCCCCATCTCACCTCAGCTTGGGAGATAGAAGAAATAAAGGAGACAGTGAACCACACTAATTTCTGCCTTGCTCTTGCTTCAGTGCCACCAGGCATTGTCTCCCACTCAGCCCAGACTCCAAGGTGTCAGTTCTCCACTGACTGTCACAGCAGATGTGTTTGTCTTATACCTACAATGGTGATTATTTCACTAATTGTCAGCTGAGCAAATGACACTGGCAGACTGTGTTCTTGTCTTCTTGCTCATCATCAGTAATGAAGAGTCTGCAGGCCAAATTATTCCCTAAGTGACAGCTTTAGCCCCACTGCTTTCAAATTATGCTCTCAGTTATTAAAATTATGTTTCTGTCATAAACACAACCTCACTGCTTTTGGTGGATCTGTGCAGATGCGGCTAATCTAAATTTAATAAACAAAGGTACAGGTATGAGTGGAATTTACGATGTTCCTTCCAAACTGCCATGCTTCACTGTAATAAAAGGAGTTGAAAGTTAGAAAAAAAATGAAGATATTTGACTACATAAAGAGAAAAGGCTGTGCAGTAAGAAAAGACCCTTTCTGCATACCCCCTTTTGGGGCAGATCTGCATTTTTGGTATTCGTTTTCAAATTGGTATCTTCACATATGAGATGTGGCATAAGAAATAGATATTTTTCTTGGGAGTTTTAAAATTAGAGTTATTTTTAAATTAAACACAGACTGAATAGTCGATTCCACTCACAAATGTCTTTATATTCAAACATTTTGACTGACTCTATTGATACCTATTTTATTTGCTTCCCCATGTCCTGCAAAGCAATATGCCTAAGATAGGTAGATACTTTGTTCTCTTTCTCTTTTCATTCCAGTATAGGGTTGGGCACTATTCCCTACTCCAGAACTTTTCCTCAGTACTGGGAAACTTGCATATGCAGCATTATGGGAAAACAAACAAACAAACAAACAAAAAACACAAACAAAAAAAAAACAAAACAAAAAAAACCCTAAACCTTGATTTCAGAGACTATGAAGTTAAGAGTTTAGCTTTCAGCATCCACTTTTTACAAGATGAGCTTCAAACCCACTTGGATTAATTCTGTGAAAGTGCATAGTGTCTGCTTTTCCAAAATTGTACAGTTCCCATTTTTACTTCCTGTAACTGCATTTTGTGAAAGAAGAGTGTGCACTTTGCAAAAAACAGTAATACAAATCTATTTTCAATAAGAGAAATGAAAATTACATTAGAATATATTGTTAATCCCTTTCTCTGAGGCTCTTTTCATTTGATTGACATTTCTTTATCAATCTCTTGCTGCTACTCTTTCTTCTTATTGTATTTCTTTGCCATATGCAAGTACTCTATCAGTGATCTCTCTGCATACACAGTGAGCAACAAATAGCATCATATCTAATCCCCTGTCTGATTACTCTGTACGTAAAGTCTAACATTTCCCACCATAAAGTAATTGGATTAATTGATCCATCTTTTCTTTTCAAGGTCAGGCAGGCTTATATTGGTTGTCTGAGTCTGAATGCATCTCTTTTCATGTTATGCTTAAACAACTTGAACCCAACAAACTTGTGCTCTGTTCAATAACCTCTGCCACGAACTGTATCCTCTACTTTTAAGAGTCAACATGGTATTTCAGCAGCAAAATCAAGCAACATACTAGAAGTCTTTGACTCTACTACTTCTACTGTTATATATATAGATATTATATATATGTTTATACATTTATTTGCAATCCATCATTATACTCAGACTTGGAGTGTTGTTTTGTAGTCACTGGCTTCCTTTTCCTGCTAGTCTCACAGGAAAAGTATGAGTGATTCTGGAAAAGGAAAAATGTAGTTCTACATCAAGTGACACAACTTATTTATACCACATGTATATACGTATGTCAGAAAGCAATTATGAACTCAAGGGGCACAGCCAGGTGCTGATTCCAAGTATATTCTAAGGCAATGCTTGATTTTTGGACAGTTTTCACTTGAAATGCAACAGGTATTTTCCGGACACTCATCACTCATTAGTGTATAAAATAATGCATTGCCCTCACTAGAGTTCTGCAGAGTTGGGTTTGCTCCTCTTTCATTCCAAAACCAGCAAAATTCACTTTGGCTTCGCAGAGGAAGAGAATAAACTCTGCCCTGTTGCTTTCAGAGCAGGCCTGGTTCTCCCTAAGACATTGATGTCGGTCTCCTCCACAGAGAGTGTAGAAATACTTCTTACATTGTAATTTGTAAATGAAGCAAAAGACATTGCTCACACTCTGGCTGAGTTCCATTTTAGCAGACGAGCTGCATGTTTTTTTAATGCTTATCCATCTGAACTGTATTTTATTCTTTTGCATAAAATCCAGAGTCGTGAATTCTGCTGTGAGAAAAGGCTCCCTTGTTTTCACCAATATACTTGTTTTCCTTAAAAATCAATATGAGGAAATCCCTGAGTGCTTTGCACACAGATGTCTGCAGAAGTGTTATTGCTGCCAGGTTTTTCCAATGTGTCAAATAATCTTTGTATAATTTATAAATGATAACAAAGCAATCAGGCCACATTCATAAAAGCCCAGTGACACATAATTTAGTTGAATCTGAGGATTAGAATGAATTGTCTCTCTTTGTTCCAAGTTCTAAATCTTAGTAAATGATTCACTACATGTCATTACAGCTTAATATTTGCATGAAATCACAGTTTAACTGGCATAATTTAACAGCAATTAAAAAGCTATTTAATCGTCATGCAAATTGGCATGAGGGGCCTTGAGTAGGAAGTGTGTTTGAGGCTTTTTTCTGTGACTGTCTGCTTTTTTGCAAGCAGACAGTCACATACTTTCAGACACCTCTAACATAATTGATGGTGGCTTTCCTTTTCACTGAAATGTGAATGTACAATAGTATGTGTTTTCTCTTACAGTTGAGGATTAAGTCCGAAGTCATGACTCTAAAAACTTTCACTCTCTAGTACAAATAATTTTTTTTTTTAAATATATTTTATTTACTGTATTGGTCCATCTACAGATGTCATGTACATATAGTGCAGCAAAAATCTGATAGGAAATGAAAATTCAAAAAGACAGACAAAACTTGGCTGTTGCCCAGATTCACATTAACTCATGTTTTGGCGTGCCGAAATTGATGAAATAATATAAAAAAACCCCACTGAGCTGTGATGACCCATTGTCATAATATCTATAGTTATATAAGATATAAGTTATGTATCTATAGTATGTAAGATTAAATCTAAGCTTGTTTTAAAACCTTGACTCCAATCCTTCAAGCAATTACACACATGCCTAGTTTTAAGTGCTTGAGTATTACCAATTATTTCAAGGGGATTACTGATCCACTCAAAGTTATGCAGATTTGTAAGCATGATTAAGGTTCATCCTCCATATTCCTAAAACTCCTCATTGGTTTTAACAGTGGGAATTTGTTAAGACCAGTCATTATTTAATTCTCACAGCATGGCTTTAGAGGAAACATAATTATTCTGAATAATTAGTCATCTGAACACAAATAATAAGAACTGAAGCTGAAGTCATCTGTGCTGGTTTTAGCTTGTTCCAGTCTCAGGACTCTTTTCCAGAGTAGCCAGAACCATTAACCTCACAGTGGTTTTATAGGCGTTTAGTGATTTCTGAATCTGAGACACTCTAAGCTTGTAGGAGCTTTTGAACCACAGCAGTCTTTTCAAGGCTATCTCTTACCTCTGTTTTCCACACCACTAGATAATGAAGTATCAATATAATGAGCCTTTCTTAACAAGTTGCATTTACAAGTACTTACCTATTAAAGTATTTCAAATGCTTCAGTTTACACTTATCACAAGGTCACAAAGACCAGGAAGGAAAAATAAAGGAGGAGCATTGATATTTTTGTTTTCCTCCCTAAAGCAAAGGTTTGACCATCTTTTAGGCACAAGGTCTTGTCTTCATGCTACAAGCTGTAGAGCTGGAATTTACAAAAGTGTTGATTAATATTTTTGGTTTGTTTGTTTAGAAAGCATATTATATTTTAATCGTCTGACTCTCTCATCTTTACTGTGCCACTCAATTTGTTGAGTGGAATTCACTTGCGTAAGAATTAGCTGATGTCATTTGCAAATGTTTCTTGTACTCTTTCAGTCTGCTTAAGAGACCCTGAAGTAATGAAGAGCTCACTCAAAGTTTGACCAGTGTCTCAATCAAAACTTTATGTTTAAGTCCTGTTGGAATAAATGATCAAAAACTGCAAAGAAAGCTGAAACTTTTCAAAGCTCTGATAAGCCAAGCAATGCATGTGCCCTGTGATTTTTGTTGAGAGCTGGGAATATATGTTTATTCAACTCATTCAGCTCAAAAAACCCAGAGGTCAGCAGCTGAGTTTTCCACAGTCCTTTCACACATATCAAAATCTAGAGTATAAGGCCTTGCGTTTTTCCAAATCTGTGTTTCTTACATAATTTTTATGGGTACATTTGGGATTATCTCTCTGTGAAGAAATTCTTCCTGGTGTCCAACCCAAACCTCTCTTGGCACAGCTTGAGGTCATTTCCTCTCATCCTGTCACTTGTTACCTGGGAGAAGAGGCCAAACCCCACCTGCCTGCAACCTCCTTTCAGGGAGTTGTAGAGGGCAATAAGATCACCCCCAAGCCTCCTCTTCTGCAGGATAAACACCCCCAGCTCACTCAGCCTCTCCTCATCAGCCTTGTGCTCCAGACCCTTCCTTAGCTCCATTGCCGTTCTCTGGACATGCTCCAGCACATCAATGTCTTTCCTGGAGTGAGGGGCCAGAACTGGACACAGCACTTGAGGTGTGGCCTCACCAGTGCCGAGTGCAGGGGTACAATCACTATTTAAATATGTAAAGCCCCAGGTATTTTTTATGTGATCCTACACAGTAAGTTAGCAAACAGCTTAAAATTTGTTGGACATCCCTGGACTGTTGTGGAATCCATGGGAAATGGGTCACTTGTGGTTCATCTGACAGTACACAGGCAGCTTTACCACCTGCTTGTTAGATGAGAGATCTCCTGTACTCTGCCTGCTGCAACTAGCTTTGTATTTCTTCCCACAGTCTTCAAAAATTACTTTTTCTCCTGCTTTTTGGTCAAGCTTTTAGACCTTTAACTTGCAAGGTTGATGTCTTCACTGTTATACTGGTGCTGACGAGGTACCAGGTGGGAAGGAAAAAAAACTTGTAAACTGTCTCTTGTGCCTAATAGTCTTGGCCTGTTGCCACCTAACTCTTGTTAATGAACAGCAGCAAAGAAATCCCTGGGGATAAGCAGTGAAGGGTAAAAAAGAAATCTGGCACTGCAGAACTAATACAAACAGTTTTACCTCTTGTAGTTATTCCAAAGCAGTTATTTATTTATTATTTAATTTGCCTCTTATAAAGCATCAAATATTTTAAGTCTCAGAAAAGCCTACATTACTAGATATAAAATAAGGATATAAATTTTGTGATTAAAGCTCTAGTCCAGTATACCACATCATCAAGAGATATTTAGTGCAAATTTGTGTTATCAAGTGTAGTTTTCACATTCCCAATTCATTTTTGCATTGCCTTAAATGATCTCTGAATTAATTCTAATTTACTTAGATTATTCAGCTTTTTGTGATCTCACCTATTTATTATGTCTGCTTAATTTTCAAGGATTATATTCAGATAACTCTTATTTTTTACTTTGAATTTGTTATAGAATCATAACTCTTATGTCTTTTATTTGCAAATAATTGCCTGAAATTTTTTTTTTGTTTGTTTAACTTTTTTCTCCAAAGAGGCCTAACAAGTTTTCCCCTCCTCTGCAGGACCACCTTCTGCTCCGAGGAATGTGGTTTTTAACATTAACGAAACAGCTCTGATGTTGGAGTGGAGCCCTCCGAGCGACACTGGAGGGAGAAAGGATCTCACTTACAGTGTCATCTGTAAGAAATGTGGCTCGGACGCCAGCCAGTGTGAGATCTGTGGGGGAGGCATCCGCTTCATCCCCAGGCACACGGGGCTCATCAACTCCTCGGTGACGGTGCTCGACTTCGTGTCGCACGTGAACTACACCTTCGAAATCGAAGCCACCAACGGGGTCTCGGAGCTGAGCTTCTCTCCCAAGCAGTTCACAGCCATCACGGTGACCACAGACCAAGATGGTAAGTCCCAGCATGTCTGTTCCTGTGCCCCTGACACCTATGGAGATGCTTTTGTTTCTTAGAAGTCTGGCTCAGCAAGTTAGGATGTTTTGCAGGTTGCTAAATGTTTTTAAGTGCTTTCTGTGAGGACTTTCAGCCCCTGCTGATGAGGGCATTAAATGCTTTTGGCAGTTGGCCCTTGACCCCATTACACAGGACACAAAACCACAGCTTTCTGTTTAAGTACAATATTTAGCTACCTGAGAGTAACTGTATCTATCAGTGGTTCATCAGAACTGGAGTCTGGTGCTTTTGAGATTTCAGTTTTGCAAGAGTAAAACACCAGAGGTTATCCATTACAATTGCACAATTCAAAGGAAAAGTGGAAGTGAACTCACTACCTTTAGTATCTGTTTCACAGTACTAATACAACATTTCTCGCTGTAAAGGTATTTCAACATCTGTATGAGCCATTTCCTACTAGATTTTCTTTGATCCTTTAATTTTAAACTTTGCATTATTGTTTTGAGCTTTTTCTTCCCCCTATTTGAGTTTGAATTCATGTCCAAGGTGAATCTTCACCAGAAACATGACAAACTAGAAGAGCTCTGTTTTTGTTTATTTCCGCAACTTTTTCTTGTTCTGTCTTTAGAAGTGCTTACTGTGCCAGGAAACGGCATCACAGGTTACCAACAATGTAAACTATAAAGCAGTGTCCTCTTCTGGCTTTTGTCACTGTACACAAGAAGGTTGTTTCAAAATTATCCCTTGCTGACATTTGTTCCAGAAATGTTTTTCACCTACTGTGCAGTGACATTGCAACTGCAGCTGACGTGTTTAATGTAGAGCAGGAACTGAACTGGCAAAACTACTGCTTTGAGCAAAAAACACGTGATAGTATGATTCTATTTAGTAAAAGTGCTAATGTTCCGGATGATCCTGTTTGTTCCACTTGTAGGAAGGCTCGAGGTTTTTTCACTTATCAGCCTAGCAAAAATCTGCTTACCTGTGTATCTGGGACGAGTAGTTTTGTTGATGAGTAGGTAATGACTTGTTTGCTTTGGGCATACAAAAAATTAACAGCTTGCTGTGATCATGATGATGATGGTGACAATGGTGTTAATATGAATAATATTCACGAAAATGGATTAGAAAAAGCACAAAAACTACTCACCGTTCAGGTGATGATGGTAACAGCAGAGCTAATCATTTAAGATGCCTAATGATATATAGGCCTTGCAGTGAGAATTTCCTTAAGCACTTAAGCTGTGTATCACCTTCGTATCCCTTTTCCTTTCTCAGTAAAGGAAAAATGGTGTTAGAAAGTACCCCTAAGTGTACTTACTTTTGGATATTTTGCTAAATGGCATTAAATGCAAGTCACCGAGCATGCACAGGTGGAGGTCACCAGAGATATGGTTTATTTTTAAGCTGGGTAACAGCTGTGTGAACACAACTCGAGATGAGCATTTAACTGGTGGCCTTTTAAAAAATAGTATCTTTTGCTGTTGTCTGTCCCTGCTTTAAGGACAGAGATTTTCACTGCAGTTTACTCAAAACAGGGAAAATGTTCTGATAATTTGTGACACACTGGCAATAAACTCTGGAGTATAGAGTGCTTGTATTCCCTATAATAATTCTTACATTACTAAAATTGCTATGGAAGGGCTTCAGAGAATTTAAGACCAGATTTTCAGAATTCTTTGTCAGTTTATTTGGATATAAAAAGACAGCATAGGAGGAGTCATCCTGCTAGTTATAAAGATAAAAGCATTTTTGTAGGATTACCAGCTGTTCAGTTGTATAAAACCATAAGCACGGTAACTATATATTTAGAGGTAAAAGAAAAAAATGTAATGTTGGAGGAAGGGTGGAAGAAAGTTAATGGAGTTTTTGTTGATGGAAATTAATCAACATTTTTTGTGAGTTACTTTTAGTCATAAATAAGAAGTGATATGGAGAAAGCTGCGGTATCTCACCTCAGAAATGTAACCTGTAGAATTACAGCTTCAGAACATTGCAGAGATTTTTCTTACAAACTCACTGTTACAATCTTCCCTTATAATCTTAATTATACTGAAATGGATAGTACTTATTGCACAGTGCTGCAGGTTTGTGCATACATTCATAGAAAGCAAAGATCCAAGATTAAGCATATCACATGACAACAAATCAAAAATGTATAAATTTGTACAAGGACTGGATCACTAGAATTGGTTTAAAATTTTTTTTTTTTTTACTTTTGATGTGTCTAATATCTAGATCTATATTTAATCATTCCTACACAACATATTTATGCCATGTTCAACTACCTTTTTATAGGTAATCTTTTCATACATACACTTTTAATGTTTTTGGTATATGCTTTGCATGAAGTCCTAAACCTCCTAATAAATATATAAATTATTTTCTTCCACTGTCATATCTTTATTAAGAATATAGAACCATATCTGCAGCTGTTGTAAATCCAGACCGTTCTGTTAGCTGCAGTAATTTACAGTGGCTGAAGACCTAGCATTTTATTTTCTTTGAGCATATTGGATTTACTTCCCTCTAGTGGCCTTTTCTTTTTGACAGTTTATGTGAAATTAGCAGGTTCTTCTTTAAACATGCAAAATTATTAGCTTGTTCTTCAGGGGGGTTTCTCTCTTATTGGATTCAGCACTTAGCTGAATAAATAACTCAGTGAAGAGTACTGTGGACATCCATAGAAAGTGAGGAATTGTATCCTGTCACATAAGTGAATAGAGTAGTCTGAGAGCATCAAAGAGGGAAGAATATATCCTGACAGGAGAAGTGAACTAATTCAAAAGTGATTAAAGCTCATCTTTATGCACAGAGTTCTACCACAACTAATATTAAAATCTTAACTGCCTCTTCATGCAATCACAAGTATCAACAAAATTAAATACACTGCTCAGCTTTAACAGTGACAAGAAGCAGACTAAAGGAAAGTAACACTTAAAAAAGGCTGTGCAAACTGCAGCTCAAACCCCTCTGCAATTTGGTGAATAAAGCATTATCAGACCTGATCAAATACTGAAAAAAATTACTCATAATAATGTAAGTCAGGTAAAATGAACTTGGCAATACTCATGACTTTTTTCTTTAATTTTATACAAGTACTCACAAATTGGATATCTGTGATTTTGGATTTTTCCCCTTGGCTTCGTAAGGAAACAGAATTTCTGTGGTCACATTATCTGTCAGGCACCAGAAAGAACTGTGAACCCAGAAGCCAACATGGGTTTGTTAACAGTGAAAAAGAGTTAACAGAATTGTGAAAACTGATCACTTGGAGTCACCAAGGTGTTGGTTGGGTCTGCAAGTTGAAAAGAATCGTGAAGCTTCCTTTTTGGACTAGAGACCCCAACTAACTGACCACTTGGCCTGTCTGCTGACTAGTCAGTAAAGAAAGAATATATTTCAATCTTTACAATCACAGCATATGTTGTGTCCTGTTCAGCAAGCAAGGATGGTGTAGGGGTTAGGGAGTGTAGATGGGGAGATGAGGGAAGTGTGGCTTTTTTTCAAAATGATTTGAGATACCAAAATAATCCCTACTTTAAACACAGATAAATGGACAGATAAGTATACAAGAGATCCTTCTCAGAAAAGCACTTAAGCAAAGTTCTTGTTCAAGGAAGAACATTAGCACATATTAAACGCTTTCCCAAATCACTGCTAAAGTAGTTTGTAAACAACTGAAAGATAAAACATGTTTTCACAAAAAGCCTCGTCAAAAAAATGTTTCACATACTGTTGTTCAGAGAAGTGCCTGGATCCCTTTTCTTTATGGGAGAGAGAAAGTTTTATGCAGCAGTAAATATGCTGAGTACAAAGTAATTGTACTCAATGGACTTTAAATCATTGTGTGAAGAAGCAGAGAATTACATGCTGAATTGTAATTTATGTTTCTCTTATGACTAATGGAAGGAAGAGACACCTCACTATATAACTTTCTGAGCATGCCATAGAGTCTGCATTGCCTAAAGAAAATTCAGAGGTACTTGAGTTTTTTCATACATAATTAAAGTAGTAAATAATGAATAATTAAGCAAACAGAACTTAAAAAGTAGTTCCTATTTCCAAATAACAGTCCATATTCACATTTACTCAACGTGCACTCACATGTTCTATTCCTTGAGAACAGGGAGGAAAAGAGTACACTATAGAAATACTCCTTCTGCCTTTGCATCCTGGAAAGCTCTTCTTTCTCAGTTCTGCAGTTTGTGGGTGACTCTGGTCTCTGTGACACCAAAGACCTGCTACCAGTTGACAAAATCTGAGGCACAAGAGAGCACAATCTGTGGGCACACACCCTGTCACTATATTAAAGCCCTGGCTCATTTTTTCTGTCTGTCTAGTGCTGGCAACAGAGATTTTCAGGCAGATTGTGAAACTGCAATTCTTTCAGGATTCCTTTGTCTAATACATCTTATTTTACATGAGCCATTGGCAGATTCATCCAAGGTGATGTTTCCTAATCCGATGGTAAAATCTTGCCAGTTTGAAAGGGATTGCCTTTCATCTAATCCCTTTTCCCAAATAAGTTATTCCTGGTGCAGGTGGCTCCTCAGACATATTTGTAGTCCAGCGCAGATGGTCTCTAGAAAGAGCAACCATTTGTCACTCTCTTAGAGCTGTGTGAACAGAGGAATTCATGGCAGGGTTTCAATATCTCTTCCAGGAATAAACGTGACCATATCACCATGACTTAACAGCATATAGCATTATAATCACAACGCAGATGGGAGAAGTGGTTAAGAGGTTCATCTGACTGTCATTCTGACTCTTGGTTGCACCACCAGGACAGTTTATCAGGATTAATCCTTCTGATTGATGACAGGATAGTTTCAGGATCCTCATTTAAGTGACAGGGGAATTGCCTGTTTACTCATCCTAAGTTGCTTCCCATAGCAGCATCTCGCTTTCACCCTAACCAAAAGTCAACTTTCCTTTTTTTCCCCATCTCACTTTCACCCTAATCAAAAGTCAACTTTCCTTTTCTTCCCCATCTC